CTATTGATATTTTTCCCATCTTATCAATTTTCTTAGTTGATCATATAAAAATGGCAGTAAACTGTTAATTTTGTTTTATGTTAAAAATTCTTAAAAATGGAAATAAACCCATTTCAGAACAGTGCTGTCTTGTTAGGATTGGCATGCAGTTCAAATTAGAATGCCAGCTCAATTGGGTTATCATTTATTATTGAATTTATGCAGTTTTGTGTGAAATTTTCATTTTTCTCATTCTGGCATTTTCAAAGTGTGAACTTGAACTCCCATTGGCCTGAAGCCTTATGCTTGTTACACATTTTACTTACGTCAGTATTACCTGTTGAGCATAATTAAAATTTGATGTTGAATTTGCAGTTGAGCATAATGTACTTTTGCATCAGAATTGACAGTAGCCTATTTTGTGCATTGTTATTGTCTGCTTTTTGTCTGTACATTTGACAGCTTTGCTGCCTTGTTTGTGTAAAGAAATCACAACTTCAGATATTTAAATTAGACCTCTTGAAACATTTGATTATCAACTTAACACAAACCATAATACAAGAAACTTCAGTGTCTATAAAGAAGTTTGAAAAGCCATAGCAACAGCATTAGATATTAAAAAAGTAAAATGAATGCTACATTCATCAGTTTAAAATCACAGGACTAATTTCAGCAAGATTGATCTCGGGTTTACATATCACATGTATTGTTTAAGCTTAACTGATGAAGCAGAGAGTTGAAAAGTCTGACTTAAGAACTTGATAGTTAATACCAATTCTTAATTTAAATTACTAGTCACAGTTCCATAAGTTATAGTTGATAGTAAGGACAAATATGCAACCATAATTAGGAAATTCACTAGATGCAAATACTACAGCGTGCTATTTAGTTTTCATCTTGATGGGTTTAGTGCTAGTTTTCTTTTTACAAAATATTCTACAGCAGCATCGATAACATAATATACACAATGTCAGTACGACAATAGACACAACAAGCAGAAAGGCAATGACATCAAGCAAGTAGTATTGATACCATGACATCAATACCGTAGGAGAATGCAAGTACGTGCCGCCATGTTTAAGGACATGTTCTATCCAATAGGTAGTGAGCTGTTGAGGTGTCCATGGCTGGTCTCGATAAATTGCTGAAAGTTTTTTGGCTTTGTCAACGTAGGAAGAATTGTCAATCATAGTATTAATATTGCCTACTAATTCTTCTGTGGTGAAATAGAGAATGTCCATGACTTTAGCTATGCCTCTATGCTGAGCTCTATTGCTATTATAATACTGGTCTCCATTGAGAGGTAGTCCAATCACAGGTACGCCATGATAAAAAGATTCAAAGGCTCCTCCAAGACCAAAATGGCTGATGAAAAGTTTGGTGTTACGGTGAGCCAAGAGATCATTTTGTGGAAGCCATGGTAAAAGTTTTACATTTGGCGTGACAGAGTCTGGTTTTGGTCCTGTATGTTTCCATATGACTCCATATTTTATTTTACCAAAAGCTTCAACCATTTTTTTTATGACATAATCTGGAAGATAACTTGCAATGGATCCAAAACTAACAACAATGACACCATTTTTATGACCTTCCATGAAAGTTTGAAGATCTTTGGGGAGAGGTTTTCCAGGTTTTGCACTCATTCCTCCAGCAAATATGGTGTTTGGCAACGTAAGTTGTGGAAAGTCTAACGCAGGGTGCCTTCCAGTCACTATAAACAATTCCGAGTCGGCTAATATCTGATGAAAGTTTTTCTTTGGAATTCCTTCCAAAGATTCTGCATGAAAATCATATGGGATTGAGCAAGTAACCATATATTGGTAATGCATAAAGAGTAAAAAATTCACAGTCCGTTGCCAGAAGTTCATAGTATCTGAATAGGTAGATAAAAAATTGGGAACAATGGAAGGCAGAGATGGTGCTCCAGATTCAGTGGGTGGAAAAGCAACACCTGACACATATGGGATATTGTGTATAATGGGTAGTAGGTATGCAGTTGAAAAAGATATAAAAGCATTCTGTACAATAACCATGTCGATCTTAAGATCTTTTAACTTTTTGTTGAAGTCGGTGTCTTTCAACATGTCTGCCGTGTAGTTTTTGGTGAACACATCTCGGAAATTATTGATTAATTGTGCAATTTTATGAGAAGGAAAGGTTCTGTCCGTTGGTCTATCAAAGTATGAAAATATTCCATTTTTCTGGAATTCTGCTGTTTCAAACACCAAAAATTCATCTGACCTTGTTTTGAACAATAGAACTTGAATCCTCTTGTCAAAAAACCCACTGGGTAAACTTGGAAGCATTGGCTGTGGCATGACGATGTAGACTTCATGACCTCTGTCTGCTAATCCAAGGAGAAGTGCCTGTGTGTCTATTAATTGACTTTTAAACGGCATGCATATTCCCAAAAATCTTGCACTGTTGACTTGGTCAATCAAAGTCATGCAGTATATTATGGTTAAACACATTGTAGAAATGTAGTAATTTTCCATGTTGTGGTGCTGATGTGAAGACCTTTCCAAGCAAAGTTAGCTTGTGTAGATAGTGTAAAATGGTGCTGGTGTATTTAAGCCTGTAGATATCAGAGGCTGGTTTGATTGGTTATGCCTGTTTTTTTAAGTCATTAAATAGGACACTGATATCATAGGTACATAAGTTTAACATTTGACCTAGAAGGCAATACTTTGAATTTGAATACATATTTTTTTCTTTTTTATAGTTTAAATGTGCAATTAGTGGTTCAGGTGCATGAAAATGTAAATAATTTCAAGGTATTTTTTAAATCTATTTATTTTTACGTTTTAAACACAAAGTTGAATAATAAAATCTAGAGTTTTTAGGCAACATTTAACTTTAAAACCAGAAAGCACTGCTACAATTGACTCTCTTACTGTTATCATATTGTAATACTTTCAAATAGAAATGCTACTCAATAATACAATATTTCTGAAATCACAATTAAAAAGAAACTATTTAGCTGTTGTAATTACAAAGTTTTACACGTGCAATCATGAAAACATGCTATTTGGTTTTAACTTTGTTGGGTTTAGTGTTAGTTTTCTTTCCACAACAAAGTCTACAGCAGCATCTACAACATGATATACAAAGTGCCAATATGGCTGTAGACACAAGAAGCAGAAAGGCAATAACATCAAGCAAGTAGTATTGATACCATGGCATCAGCACCGTAGGTGAACGCAAGTACGAGCCGCCATGTTTAAGGATATGTTCTATCCAATTGGTAGTGAGCTGTTGAGGTGTCCATGGCTGGTCTCGATAAATTGCTGAAAGTTTTTTGGCTTTGTCAACGTAGGAAGAATTGTCAATCATGGCGTTAATATTGCCTACTAATTCTTCTGTGGTGAAATAGAGAATGTCCATGACTTTAGCTATTCCTCTGTGTTGTGCTCTATTGCTATTATAGAACTGGTCTCCGTTGAGAGGTAGTCCAATCACAGGTACGCCGTGATAAAAAGATTCAAAGGCTCCTCCAAGACCAAAATGGCTGATGAAAAGTTTGGTGTTAGGGTGAGCCAAGAGATCATTTTGTGGAAGCCATGGTAAAAGTTTGACATTTGGCGTGATTGATTCGGGTTTTGGTCCTGTGTATTTCCATATAACCCCATATTTTACTTTGCCAAAAGCTTCAACCATTTTCTTTACGACATAATCTGGAAGGTAACTGGCAATGGATCCAAAACTTACTATAATGACACCATTTTTATGATGTTCCATGAAAGTCTGAAGATCTTTAGGCAGAGGTTTCCCAGGTTTTGCACTCATTCCTCCAACAAATATGGTGTTTGGCAACGTCAGTTGTGGAAAGTCTAATGCAGGGTGTTTTCCAGTCACTATAAACAATTCTGAGTCGGCTATTATCTGGTGATAACTTTTCTTTGGAATTCCTTCCAAAGAATCTACGTGGAAATCATAAGGAATAGTATGTGATGAAATATGAATATATGGCAGGTAGAGTAAAAAATTCACAGTCCGTTGCCAGAAGTTCATATTATCTGAATAGGTAGATAAAGGATTTGGAAAAATGGAAGGCAGTTGCTGGGCCCCAGATTCTCTCAATGCCATACCAGAGCCTGTTATATATGGGATATTGTGTTTGATCGGAAGAAGGTATGCTGTCGGAAAAAATAAAAATGCATTCTGTATGATAGCCATGTCAATCTTCAGCTCTTTCAATTTCTTGTTGAGGTCAACATCTTTTAGCATGTCTGCTGTGAAGTCTGTGGTAAAATAATTTGTGTACTGATGAAATATTTGCATAGTTTTATAAGGAAAAGTTCTGTCCATTGGTCTATCAAAGTATGAAAATATTCCATTTTTCTGGAATTCTGCTGTTTCAAACACCATAAAGTCATCTGACCTGGTTTTGAACGATAGTATTTGAATCCTCTTGTCAAAAAACCCACTGGGTAAAGTTGGAATAGTTGGCTGTGGCATAACGATGTAGACTTCATGACCTCTGTCTGCTAATCCAAGGAGAAGTGCCTGTGTCTCTATTAATTGACTTTTGAATGGCATGCACATTCCCAAAAATCTTGCACTGTTCACATGGTTTATCACAGGCATACAGCATAGTATGGCTAAACACACTGCTGAAATGTAGGTCTTGGCCATTTTGCGGGTTTGATATGAAGACTGTTTCAAGCAGAGCTCACTTTTACCTGTATGTTATTCTGCTGCTATATATAATGCTGACCCAGTGTTTGTCTTCATTCAAGTCTGCTCATGTGTTGATCTGATTGGTCCCTCAGAGGTCAGAAGGTCATTATTTAGGACACTGGTCACGCTATAGGGTTATCATGTTACTTGTGAAAACAAGGCTTTGAACATTTTGGTGACGCTTTATTCAACAGTAACATGCAAGCCACTGCGAAGGAATTCTGATCATTATTATTTTCTTTGTAAGAATGATTTTTCTTAAATTTGATATTATGCTTTATTTGTTCATCACCTTTAGATTCGTTCTGTTTTTTATTTACAAAACAAACAAACAAACAATTATATACCAGATAGGAAATATCACTATTTTCACAATATTAAAATAGTGATATTTCCTGTCTGGTACATACTTGTTTGTTTGTTTTGTTTTTCAGTCATCAGATTGTACTCTTTCAGTTTTGTTTACTAAGCATACTTCTTGAGATCTGTGTTTTACTTTACAATGATGTCTCTCCTTATTTTTAAGAGATCCTTATTTAATTTTCATTTTTTTGTTTCATTTTACTTCAACTTAAAAAGAGTTCTGTATGAACTATAACCATGTCTGAAGTGCTGTACATCAGTCCCAGTACTTCTGGTGATGCTATTCATTAAATGTAGTAAAATTCAGCTTCTGTCAGCACAGTACATGAAAGCAATGGTAAATCTTAGTTTATAGTTGCAGAAGGTTACTCTATATTTGAAGTGCCTATTTATAGAAAATATCACTAATACTAATATCACACTTAGTCCAACAAAACTAGAGCAATTTTACAAAAGTCCAGAGGAAGTTGTTTTCAAGATATTTTGCTGTTCAGTGAAAACATTTGGAAATGGTGTCTTATGCCANCTGTTCATTTATGCAACTATAAAGTAACTGACTATTTATTTTAAATACAGATAACTCGGACTAAAATACAATTCCATAATTTCAGCTGTCTCAGGCCCAGATCATCTCCCAGGCCCAGCTCCAGCAGTTAAGTTCTCAGACAACAGGGACACCTGTCGCCACTCTGGTGAAGACCGTCTCTGCCCCCAGCGGTCCTAGTGTCACCATTCCTGTCAGTGCTGTCAGCGTGGGAGGTGTCAACATACTGTCACAGCAGAAGTTGACATCAGGTGAGTCTTTGGTGTCACAGATTGGTGTTTTCAATGCCAGTCTTGCAACATAATTACTGTAACTGGGTCTGCTCTAATAACTGGAACTGGTGCAAGGTCAGTTACCTGCATGCTTTTGGTGATCTTGATTTTAAAACTATCAGGTTTATAAATTGTATGTTTAAATCTGCACACACATTTCAAGTGTTATTTATGCTAAGAATAGTAATTGCTATACTCTGTCATTTTTGATAATTTTAGTGTCCAAGGCCACTGGACTACAGCAGCAGATCAAGCAGCTTCAGTTCCAACAGCTTCAACAGCAGAGGAAGCTTGGCCAGATACAGCAACAGAAAGTGGCAAGTAAGTATACCTAGCAGACTGATTGCTTTACTTTGTCCTATTTAACAGTACTATGTATAACAATCTGAATAGGTTTCTCCCAGTCTTTCTGCATTACTATGTCCAAGTTTCTGACCAAAGTATCCTAAATCAGCCTGTTTCTATCCTATAGCGCTGACCACGACCCCACTGCTGAAGCCCGGGCAGACCACTCCTCTGAGCACAGTGCAGATCATCTCTCACCAGGGTCAGCAGAAGGCAGGTCCCACCATACAGCAGATCCAGCAGATCATTCAGCAGCACCAGCAGAAGGCTCCTTCAGCCCAGGGCCAGTCTATCCAGCAGTCTGCCCCAACTATCATCACCCAGCTTGTCACCCAGTCCATGGCACAGATGATTACCAAGCCTACCACCGCCATTGCTGCCTCACCAGCCAGGCCGGGCACAGCGGTCACCATAGCAATGCCGGTTACCATAACAACACCTATGCAACAACAGACGGCGGGGCAGACCACAGTGACTGTGGTGGGCACCTCGGTCTCCAGTCTGGCCACGCCCACAGTGTCATTATCTCATTCAGTAACCCACACGGCAGCGCCCCCTAACGTGACAATTACCCAGGCGGCAGTGATACCGTCAGCAGCAGCGGCCACGGTAACCCAGGTATCCGCGGCCACAGCTGCCGGGGCATCACGCCCCGTACAGACCCCGGTTATTGTCAGCGAGCAGCAGGGCACGCAGCAGAGCCCCGTAAAGCAGGTTCAGGTGACGGTGCCGCCATCGCAGACTAGTAAACCAGAGACGGTGATCAGTGTGACGTCAGAGGCAGGAACGCCGGGACAGGCAACACAGCAGCAAGGAGGGGACGCCGCTGCTCAGCAGTCTAAAACACCCTACGCTATGAGGCTGCGGAATCCACCAAGAAATACGTAATTGTTTCTGTCGTTTACAAGTTAGCTTTTGTACTATGCATGTTTCTTTTTAGGAGGAATGTAATTTCTTAGTCTCCTAGGTTTCAGGAAATGAAAGAATTTAACAAGGTAGCAAACATTAATGCATCATTTCTCCCAAAATAAAAGACTGAAATATATTATGGAGAATTTATATGTATAAAATGGACTTTGGAGATCATATGATGAGTAAAGATTATTGTGAGTATAGTTAGGTAAAATTACAAAGATTTATGTTTTAGGTTTGTTGTAGACTCTAGGGTTTGAAACCTGATAATGTGTATATATAAAATTTGTAAATTTGTTTTGTGTATATTTGCAAAGAGTACGTAGTTATTGTTGTTGATCGAGGTAGGGCAACATACGATTTTTTGTCACAAATTGAGTATTAACTCAAAACTTTGTATTCAATTTTAACCTGTTTCTAAAGCTTTTAGTAGTTGCACAGTTAAACGAGTTGTCCAATGAAAAGGAAACATAATAGACTCCCCTTTTGTGTGAGTGTTACGGGATTGTAGACTGGATAGCACATAGAGTACAGGATAAGAGAAAGAAAAAAAGCGATTTTCATCGGGTTTTGATTGGCAGCGTGTTGACTGCGTTCTATGCAGCTACTGGTTTGATTATTCAGACAGTGTTTTGTTTGTAACTATTGCAAATGCAGATTAGGTTGTTATATTACAAATGTGTGAATTGGACATTCAGGCAGAAAGTCAAAATAAAGGTTCAGTATACAAGTTATTTGTTTTCTTTCAGCATTTTATTAAAAGAGTTTCGCGACTCAAAATGAAATCTATTTAACGCAGTCTGTTTTGATCAAACAGATGGTCTTGAAATGTGAATTCCAGATATAAGGTCGTTATTAAATAAAGATACTTTGTTCGACGAAGCCTACATTAAGTCATATGTCATTGTGACAGAAATGGTGGTCCACTCGGAAACGGCCCTTTTCCCATTAGGTTCTTTCTGCCGGAAACATTCGTCCCATATGCTTACTTTTATTCTTCCGGCTAACCCTATCGGAGAATATCGGTACTTGATCGTAACGCGACCATTCCATACTTCGTTTTCTGTGCCTACACGTATGACGGACAAAAATAGGTAGGCCTATTTGTTAATAGCAGTAGAAGGCAAGGATAGGAACAATTTCTTCCAAGCTAGGCATTAAATAAATGAAAAATGATAAACCAGAAAGATGTTAAAAATAATATAGGCCTATACCTATTTGCATCACAACTCGCAAAAAAAATGCGTGAAAAAATCTACACGATATGTCAGAGTTTATACCGGTTTTACATGGTTCGAGAAAGTTGTGGCTTTAAATTTTTTTGATCAGCATCTTAGGATGAAATCTCGTGTAAATCGGGTGGGGTCCAAACTTTTCATGTAAACTGGGCAGACTTGAGCTTTAGGCCTGTAACATTCAGATTCCCGCAGTGAGATTCCCGGGATATACCAGTACCTTGTGCCCGAATAAATCAACTGATAACCACGCGAAGACGTTTTAGGCGCGTGCGTAACGTCACCTGTCTGCGTCGTTGACTAAAACGGCAGTCGTGTTATGGCTACAGATGAACAGCGTGCTGCTTCACTGCTCAGTTTACGTATTACTGTTTTACTAACAAAGTGAACGAAGAAATCTGAGATTTCGACATGATAATACCACAACTTTAGCACAATGTCATATGAATTCGTGCCAACTGGTTCTTTTGTTCATGCGTGTTCGGAGGAAGACATCAAGCGACTGCTGAACTCACACCCGGTGTTGCTCGCCCTGAAACCGTCTGGAATACGAGTTGACAACTTTCTGATACACGTCACCGAAGCCTTGATCCCTCTACCAAGGACCATCACAGGACTGAGCCGCAACATTTTAGATTTCACAATATTAAGATTTGTGATAACCCGCAACAACGAATACTTTGAGACATTGTCCAGAGCTCTCATCAACTCTGTTGTTCGGCATCTCTCTCAGATTGCATTCAACCACGTGGTGCGCCTTGTTCCTATAACCTCTGACGAAATCCTGAAGCACTTCCCCGATGCCCTCACGTCTGATTTGGTGCTGAATAGGTCTCTGGGACTCTTGATCAACGATGACGATACTGAAAACGAATTTTGTTTCGCTGACAAGACGATCGAGGCACTTTTGGTCGCCATAGATCAGCACCGACAAATAATTACCAAGTTACCCTCGCGGCAGTTTTTAACACTTCCATCTTTCCTCCGAGACAGCATGAACCGTTTACCAGCCACTAGCGACATCTGGCGGATGACATTTGGGCTGCTGTCTGAACAAGAGGACAACGTGTCTGTCCAAAAGGAACTGCTGGGAGAGCTAGCTCACTTCTGTAAGAGCACTGGAATTATGAACAACATGGAACTCACACAATTCTTCGTCGAGCTGGTTTACGAATCTCAAAACGCAGGTGAGATGGCGACAGAAAATTTGGATATCTTTACAACTAATCAGACCCTAGATTTGTCAAACTGTGTAATAGCGTTTCACAGATTAGCCTACGCTTTTCAGGCCACAGGATATTTCGTTGCACAGTGCATGAGCCTACACGGACTGCTGCTTCCGAATTCTGGTTTGAATGATTTCTTTGTCAGTATTTTCAGCGAAGAAGCCCAGCGTGCCGAAGCTGTTGGTTTAGAATTTCTAAACCTTTCTAACAACAACATCACAGGTCGGGGATTAGAAGCTCTAGCGCCAGTATTTAAGATATCCACCAAACTGACACACCTTGATTTGACAAACAACCGCTTGTCTGTGCAAGGAATTAAAGCTCTCTCAGAAAGCCTGAAGTACATGCCGCTAGTCTGCTTAAAGCTGGCTCAGAACGGGCTCCAGGACGACCATTTGTCTAGACTTGCCCGAAGTCTGAAGTTCTGTTCCTTGTTAGAGAAGCTAGATTTGTCTCGCAACGAGTTCAGCGATCAGGCAATGCCGTTTCTTGTCGATAGCGCTTTGACACACCTAAAGAATTTGCAGCTTCTAGACCTGCGGGAAAATCGCATCGACAACCGCGGTGCTATTTCTCTGGCGTCTTTGCTGGAGGATCTACCCAGGCTGTCTAGGGTGCTTCTAGCCTCGAACCACATCGGGGAAGAAGGAGCTTTAAGCATTGCCATGAACATCCCCAAGTCCCAGTCCTTACGGTACGTGAACCTCAACACCAATAAAATAAGCGACCAAGGCGTGGTGGAGCTGCGCAGGGCGGCCACTGCCCAGGGGTTTGTTAACGTTATAGCTGCAGGACAATGTTCTGACGCCGGCTGTGATGCCGCCTCTGCAGTCAGGTCCCAGGTGTCCTCACACACTGAGCTTGAACGTCTGCTGCGCAGTGAATCCTCCGAGGACCTGATTGAACAAGCAGGCGCCAGGCGGTCCCTGACTAACTTTGTGGTTACACTTTGACTGGGTACTGATGTCGTGTGTGTGGAAACTTCTTGGCTGTTATCACTCCAATGACAGGTCGAGTGCATACATATTTAACTGAGCACACGCAACGGCTAAAATGCATTGTAGAAGGGGATGTAAAATGACAGTGATTGGAGGCAAAGAGATACACGTTATCAAGTTAACAATAAATGTATTGCAAACGCCTTTATTTTAGTGTTAAAACAACCAAAGGCCGTTTTTCTTTTTTTACATGTAGTTAAGGTAGATCGGTCGTTACGTAATTTGACGATTTGCGCAATTTCAGCGCATCGTCAATCGGGGGCCGTAGCGATAGTCCGAAGGTTCAATAGTCCGAAGGTTCATTGGTCCGAAGGTTCGATAGTCCGAAGGTGCATTGGTCCGAAGGTTCATTAGTCCGAAGGTTCGATAGTCCGAAGGTTCGATAGTCCGAATGATG